CAGTTGTCTTCCAAATTTGTTGGCAGAGATGAGTGAGTGCCTCTTGTGCCGCCTCACTTTCTTGAAAGATTTCAATTTTTATTCCATCAATTCCTGGTGTCTTGTTCTTTGCCACTTCTTTCAATGCACTTTGGACTTCCTCCCTGAGTATCATTGGCTCTTGTTCATATAAAGTGGTGGTGGTGATGTGCTATTGAGTCAGTTCTGACTCATAGCAACCCTGCATAGAATTTCCAATGCTGTAAATAGTTACAAAATCCTCATCTTTCTCCCTTGGAATGGCTGTAGTTTTGAACTGCTGACCTTGAGGTTAGCAGCCTGACTCATAACCACTGTGCTACCAGTATACTTAAATAACCCTGAGTCCAACACACTTTCCTTCTGAACCTAAGCAGCAAAAGCTTAAGCTGTAAAATAGTGCTCTATGCTACCCCCTATTGGTGCTATAGCATAAATACCGGACTGCTAACCACAAGGTCAAAGGTTCAAACCTACTAGCTGCTCCTCAGAAACTCTATACAGGGTCACTATGAATTGGAACTGACTGAAAGCAGTTACCAACAACCACAAGTGGTGCTGCGAAGCAATAGTGCAATAAATCAACAATGGCACCTCCTATAGGTTATTTTGGTGTGGCACTGTGGGCTGATGCGTCAGACTGTGAAGTCGTTTGAATTGCAAGGTCGGCAGTTCAAGCTCATCAGCTGCTCCTCGGAAACCCTATACAGGGTCGCTATGGGTCGGAATCAACTCGACAGCACTTAACAACAACAACATAGGTTATTTTAAGGAGTTTTGGTAGCATAGTGGATACGAGTCAGGCTGCTAATTAACCTCAAGGCCAGCAGTTCGAAACTACCAGCTGTTTCACAGGAAAAAGATGAGGTTTACTGCTCCTGTAAAGATTTACAGCCTCGGAAACCCTGTGCAGGGTCACTATGAGTTGGAACTGACTCCAGGACACACCACCACCACCATCATAGGTTGTACTAACAAGCCACAGGCTTAGAAGTGGATCGAGGGGAGAGTTGGCTTAGTTCCCTAACACCTGTCATTTGGAATTAGATATATATTCTAGCCCCAAACCTTCTGGTACCAATGCATTTTGTTTTGTCAAAGGAATTTTACCCATTTTTCTAAGTCAAATAGAAAAATCACTGCTTATCTAGAACTTAAAATTTCATAATGGACTCTCGAACCTAGCCTATTGTTTTTGTATAACCAAAAGAATACATTTCCCCCCTACAATCTGAATTAGAAGTCCCCTTTAATATGCCAGTAATACATTCCTAAGCACAGTTTTCTCCCCCAAATAGTCCTCGTAGACTAAAGGTACTTCTTTTACACCTGCACTATGGCTGAATGGCTGGTAAATACGGGACCTGCCAGAGCAGAGGCACCAGCCCCTTCCTGGCCTAGAGAGCCCTGACAAGGGGAAAACAGGGCCACTGGTTCTCCCCATAGACCACCGCTGTGGCAGAGATGGGTAGCAATGTGTGCACTTACAGAGAGAGGGCCCGCTGAGACGGAATATTAATGACCTGGGTAAGTGAGAAGCCAAGAGCTTCCTGTAGCTGGGCCTCTGGATAGCAGGCTTCCAGCCAATGTCCCAGCTGCCCCTAGGGTCCCTAGTTTGGCTTCCGGAGTTGGATGGAGTTCTGGCAACTTCACGACAGAGCTTTAGTTGCCTGGAGTTCTCTTGGGGACTCCAAAAGGACTTGTCCAGCTCTTTCCCATCTGAAGTTTCATTTCCTTGGAAACACACCACCATTAAGAGGTTTCCAAGGACTCTGGAGACCAACAGCAGGCAAGGTCAGAGGTGCTGTGGCCGCAGGGTGAGAAGAGTCTCTGGCTTCAGCTTTATGGCTGTCTAGTAACACAGCTTCTCCCAGTGTCAGTTTCCTCATCTGTCAGCGGGGATAGTGGCAGTACCGGTCTCACAGACATGTCAGGAGATAGGAGCTAGTCTCTAAGGCACTTAGAAGGGAGCCTGGGCTTCAGGTATGGGCCCAGCCGTATTAGTCACAGTCAAGCAGGAGATGCTACAGGAAGCAAGATACTTAGAAATCACCCAATGCAAC